GCATGGGAACCACGCATGCCTAGGGCTGAATCTGGTAAATTTTTCTTGTGCATGTGCTGGGAACATTCCTGAAAATTTCAGTCTCCCAGCTTTCCTGGTTCCCAAGTTAGCGATTTTCGTGCCAGGAACCCTTACGAGGCCATACGCGAGAACCACACATATCTGGAAGCTAAATTTAAAATCGTTGAGTTCTATTTGAATGGGGAACACAATCTTAAAATTTCAGTATTCTAAATTTTCTGGTTTCCGAGTTAGCGATTTTCCCGCCAAAACTTTCACTCTCTCGCATGCAGGGCCCAGACTTGCGTGAGGATTGGTGCCGCGATCCTGGGGTGGCACTTGGTCGGAGAACCCGCTGGCAAAATTTTGGCACCGGATCCTGCTTGGATGCCGAGTTGAAACACCTGGACAGACGCGTGCGCGCGCACACACACACACACACACACACATACACACACACGAAGTCGCCACAATATGCGCTTTTGCATTTGCATATAAGCAAAAACGCATAAAAAACGATTGGCAAAAGCGAGCAGGCTTTGCTTAAGTGGGACTGAAATCAAATCAAAAAAACTCTAAAGTCAGTTTGAATGTTGAAAAAAAAATCTGAGTCTAGGAATTTCGCCTCTTTTATATTAAATACGAACAAATTCGGGTATAAGGAAAGAGCATTTACACCCAGATTGCGTTGTTTTGCCGAAAACTGTATGCACTCGTGCAAAAGAGCGTCTCCTTAACAACTACCGATACTCGCGAGTATATCCAGTTTTTTCAAATACAGAACAAAGACAATACCCTTGGCATTGCTAGCATTTGTATCATCGTTACTTCCTCGTCCGACATAACGCTGTGGAAGAGGACTGCAAGTGGAGAAAATCGTAAAATTTCTACTTTGAATGGTGCCAAGCGTAGGAAGGATCGGTCCATTTTGTAGTAGCAATAAAGTTTTGATGTTTCTTTCACACTCTACAAAGAATTCCCTTTTATACATTAGGTAAATCAAGAATCATTCTTCCTGGAGTTACGTTAGATTCTTTTAGCAAATGTTTTTCAAAAAGCGAGGCGAAAATGCCCAGATCCAGCTACATTAATAATCTTTGACAAATCATCAAACGCAGTGTAGCTGCAAATTGCTCAGAGAGTTTACCCGAGGAATCAAACAGATCCAGCAGTAAGGATTGCCTTATGGTAGTTGACGTTGCTTCAGACAAATGGAGCAATTTTAATGCCAGTGCCTTCCAAAATATTACAACTCATTCGAAGTTTTTGAATTTTATTTTTATTTCATAAAAGTTGTAGGTCTTAAAGGAACATAATTAGATCTGAAGTAAGAAATGAGAAAACAGTACCACAGGTACTTCATTCCGACACAATGCCTCATACATATCACGCTCCCTCACGTCCAAGCCGTCGTCTGGCCTTTTGTTTATTAGCGGTGGAATATTACGTCGAAAATCGATTGGCCTAACACCTTCTTCTTCCAGCAAATCTTCATACCACTTAATGTTGTTCTTTGCTCGCGGATGATTCGGCGCTATAAACTCAGCTTCTGTGGAATATTGTACCAGAAAGAAACAACTCGATCTAAATGCATCAGTGTTTTATGCCATAAGGGAGCGAATTAGTCTAGATGCCTCCATATATTCTACTACGAGATGTCTAGATATACTAGTTAATACGGCAGTTAGTAAATATATTTTCTCTGAAGTTAACGAAATCCATAACCGAGTGGCATCTCTGCTCGCTTAAAAATAAGTCCTCTCTCCTCCTTTCCTATATTTTCATATCTTTTTCTTTTTTTCTCGCTTGTCTTCTATCTACTCCAGTCTTATGCAATTTAATACGTACTCATCATACGGGGTAGATTTCCTGATGATTCCCACTTCAATCTGCATGCAGCGTTCTGTCTGTGTTTACAGTAAAGGAATGAAACACAAATCGCATCCAAACATGCCTTTTTGCACATAATACTTATATTCAGTCCTTTAGCCCCTACTCTATTATTTAGTCTAAACGCATCTACACTCTGTATCGCCAGCATATTCAATCTGAAACATAACTTTTTTGCTGCTGGGTCAATTGCGACAATGAGTTAAGAAGTACGCAAATTAATGGACTGAAACGCCTTAATCTCAGCTAAATAATTCTTCGTATCCTGCATACATTTCATTCTTTAATATTTTCGAACAACCTTCGCAATGTTCTGTTCAAACTCAATAAATAGCTTAATACTGAATATTACTCAAAGTTCCCCAGCATAGTATTTGTTATCCTTCACATTCTATCAAGCGTTCATGCATTTCAAACATTTTCGATGCCAGATGCAAGCAAATGGTTTGATAAACTAATTGCTTACGCTTTGCTGTTGGCCAATTCTTTTCAGGCAGTTCTTGAGAAAGTCAACCACCAGAAACCTTGAGCCAAGCCAGTCGCTGTACTGTGATATTTTTTAGTTTCTTTGTCCCACGCAATTTATTGTGGTAAAAGCATTTTTGGCTTCTTTCGGAAAAGTGAATTCGTCGGGAACTAGAAAAAACTTTAAAAAGTACCAATTTTGTAAAGCTGTTCGGTGAGCAGAAGAGCTCGCTTTAGATTTCCTTGTTTGTAGAGCGAAAATGCCAGATATTCGAGAATATCACTCAGTTCTAGGCTTCCGTTTGGCATTTCAGAACTTAAACGTTCCTGCGCTGCTTCCATCCATATTATCGTGTGGTAGTAGTCCTCAGCATTATAGGCTGATCGGCCAATTTCAAAGCAGTCCTTGGCTACAAATAAGAAATTTAACATTTATAATAGTCCTCAAAATTACTTCTAGTTTAATTAAATTTCACTTTAAATTACCCCTCCTGCTCATAATCTTTCGCCAATTTTGATAATCAGTGGACTGCTCGTTGTTGCTGAGGTGCAACCTAATACTTGATCATTTTTCTTTGGTTATTACTTACGTGTTCCAATTATACCGCGTATTATGCATTTATTTTATTGTTTTACCTTGAAGTTAAGCCTTTGACAGCACCAACTAAGTAACTATTAGTCGACTGACAAAAAAAATAATTTTGAACTAATTAACAGAAAAATGGCTGTAAGCTGCTTATCAAAAGCAAATTAATTTTCAGACCAAAGCCGCATAACAAAGGTTAACTTGATAGCCAAAAAATTCAAGCAGTATTATGCTAAAACGAATACCACTGAGTGGCTGAGTAACAGATGCACTCATAATTTTGCCGGCAGCAATCTCTTTCGCATCCAAGCGATAGGTGTCCTGCAGCCGTAGCAGTGCCGCTGCCGCCCCATTCAAATCTTCCTGAAATGGAGCGTAAGCTTTGCATGTATATGATTTTAGAGTGAAAAATGTAAAAATCGGAAAAAATGGCTCGTTCACGCATGCTTAAACTGAAGTTGCGCAAGAACGCTGCGCTGGACTGCACTAGCTTGCGACTTGAGCGGTACCTCTTCATCTTTTTAAATAATTGGCCAACGCACAGGCTGCCCGTGCGAAGATGCGTTTTTTGCATGGTTCTCCGCAGTTTTTTTGCTACCGGCACCGGTTTTTTCGGCAAATGCTTCTAGTTAAACAAATTAAGACTGGCCGCCAGAATTGTCAGGAAACATCCCCTTAAAAATTCAGCTTTCCAGCTTCCGTGGCCCCTGAGTTAGCAACTTACTGGAACAAAATTTTCACGGCCCGTGCGTGTTTACCAAGCATGCCTGAGAGCTGGATTCGAGCTGAATGAAACTTAGGCGGACGGAGTATATCT